TCCCACATGCATAATCCTGCTGCGCATGCCACTTGTCTTTCGGCCGTTAGATTCCGCAGCTGCGTGCTGCCATCTGTGCCTCGCTGCGGCTTCCGCGAGCCTTGGAGTGGGAAAGGAGCTGGATGAATGCAGCACCGCCACAGTGGGAATGTGTGCAAAACACTTAGCATATTAGGCCGCTTGGTGATTCTCGGAGTTCGATGAGGTGACTGAAGAAGAGCAGCTCTCTTTAGCCTCACGACCCGCGCCACTTACGGCTTTGCTGTGGAATATGAAGGCTGCTCGATGTGTTGGCTGGTTCTTCCCGGCCTATGGATGACTGCAGAAATTAGGTAGAGCAAAGTAATTGCTGCAGCTATGCGGCATCTCTGGCCATATCCCGGGGTTTAGAAAAGTATGAGCTAAGAGCAAGCTACCGTTTGCCCGCGAATGCAGCGCGTGAAGGGGGCGAGGTTCCCCTTGGCCCGGTGTGCGCGATAATCGTTGCCGTCATTGTCGATTTTGCTGCTTCTTAGGGCACTTATTTTGGAGCAAAGGCCTGGTAGGCCGCGCAAAGCTTACGTAAGGTATAAGGGCTGGTTCACGTAGTGCGCCTATTGCAATGCTAGAATTTTGAGGTATCTTCCTGAGGGTTGTTTCCTCAGCGAGGTGTCTCTAATAATCTGTTTTGGAGTTTGAAGTCTGCGTTTAGTTGGAGACGCGCAAAAATTTGTAGCTGAGCTGAACTAAGAGGTACAATGATGACCTAATCGCTTCAAGCAGCAGTGCCTGTGTTGAAGCCAGATGTGTGATAGCAGAACCTCACATTAGGCCTGATTATACCCCACACATTTACAGAGCAGGCCCTCACATTACGCCTCCACTTCCTAGCTTCACATGAACTTAATTATACCACGCACAGTGGCTAAGAGGGATTCGCACATCACGCAGCTTGGCGGAACCTATTCTTTTCGTTTTCTATGCTCAAAAAGCGCCTACTGAATTCAGAAGGCATCAAGGGGAAAGTGGTGAGGTGGGATCAGAAAAGGGCGCCGTCGGAGCCTTTGAACTTAAAAGAGGCAATGGAAGAAGCCGTCGAAGAGACGACGAAGGGACTGGTGCAGGGAGCAGAGGGCTCTGCTGTTACTGCGTGTATTGCCTGTGACGACCGTACCGGATACAGACTCTGCACCGGTGCACTAACACAACCCATCAAGGCTATAAGGACTCTAACATTCAAATTAACGTCATAAAAACATATTCGAGTCCCTATATCATAAAAGGAAAATCTGTGTGTGTGTATTGAATCCTGGGTCTGACTCCGCCTTGAGTCCGACCGCCGCAGCGTCAGTCTTATAGGCAGCCCCAGACCCGGGCGATACTGCCGAGCATTCTCGACTTAGAACTGTTAGATTTCTATCTGAAGTGTTGTCTTTTATCTCTATGCGTGTTGCATTGGTTTTTTCGCATCTAGCAAGGTCTCTGGAGGCTCCACATGAGCTCTATTGTAGTACCTGTGCACTACACCGGGTGTCTCTCAGAGCCCAAGAGTTAATCACACTAAATACTAAACAGGAGACAGACTAGAAGCCTCAAATACTGCAAATCCATCGTTTCTCAGTTGAAGGTGCCGTGCAGAAGTTGTTGCAACAACTGCTGCAGGGCACCTTCACCTGAGACAACAACCAACACCCGTTCTCCTCTCCACGCTATCAATGTGGAGAGTTATTGTTGTACTTTGCATGCGTGCAGCATGCCTACTAAGGCTAAGTAGGCTTTCATGCACAGACTCCATACAGCATACGCTCTAATGCTAGAGTTGCCGCACCTCCTATTGGGCTCCTCAATGCATTTCGAGGAGAACCTACTAGCTCTGAATTGGATAAGCACCCTAGTAGAGCGGGTTCAATTCCATCTTAACTTTTATATATTATAAATGGAGTAGAGCAGGCCGCTCAGCCCTCTTAACCCAGCAGCAGATACGGCTTTGCCTGGTGTTTGTAACAGGTATGTAGCTGCAGCGCCGTTGCTGGGGACAGTGTGTTGAAGTCAAAAAGCCTAAGCTTTAAATACTAATCAATAGTATTTGAATATTAATTCTTTTTCGGTGAACAAAGGCAGGATAGGGCGTATATTCGATAGAGAGGGGACAGGAGTATGCATGCATGCATGCACGCTGTCCCCGTTGGAGACGATCCCCACGCGTATTCTTGTTGGTATCTCTTCGTTTTCTTTGTGTTGAGTGTCTGCATAAATGTGAAGATTGAGTTTAAACATTTTCATTTTTGTTTTCTTCATCTATACTCTGCTATTCGAAGAGGCACGGCGACCCCGCCTGCGTCTCTCTTCCTGTCTGCCTCTGCAGCCCCTTGTACTCTGCACTTCACAGGCTGTTGTTTGTGCTGCTGCTTTGCTGCAGCTGGCCATTGGTGGAGAGCGGGTTTTTATTAAAAGCGAAGATGCACCGCTACTATTCGTTGAAGGGGAGGGTGGGCCTCCTTGTTTCTTTGCTGCTGCTGTGTGCGGCAGCAGCAGCAGCTGCTGCTGCAGTCACAGAGACCACCAAAGTTAACGAGCCAGAGCCTGCAGACGGAGCTGCTGTCACTGTGGCCGCTGATTCAGATATTTCCGCTGGAGAGAAGAGGACCCCTCCGCGCAAGAGGCAGACTCGTTCTAAGGCTTCGAAGGCAGTAGATACTTCTTCTTTGACGTCTGCTATCAGCGACACACCAACAGATGCAGCAGCACCAACAGCAGAAGTAGAAGTAGCCGAAACAGCAGAAGCAGGAGATTCTTCTCTTCCTTTGCCTCCCGAGATCCCAGATGAAGATCAAGACGAGCTAGGCTCAGACAGGCTTTCATTAGATGGGGGAAGGCTCCAGCTGCGTTTGCCTGATGGCACACCTGTAGGGAGTTTAGAAATACCTGTTCTTGACCGTCATCGCCGCAAGCTAACAGGGTTAAAGACGCTTACAACAGGTTTGGTGCTGTTCTTAATTCTTCTTGTTACGAGGCAGTCAGGGCCCCTTACGCTGGCCGAGCAGACAGCTATGACGATGGCTTTTGTAGGGCTTGTGAGGTTTCTGCAATCGCTGTTCAGCGAGCAAGGAGAGTTTCAATTTAAGGTGTCTGTACAGCCCGGAGATCTCAAAGACGAGCTCGTGGGGGAGGTAGAGTATGGAGGCCTAGCAGATGCAAAGCGCTCTCTGCAACAGCGTCTACAGAAATGGATGCAGACATTATATATTGCTGTTCCGACATTCTTCCTTGTTTCAGGGTTCTTTATGACTCTCGGCTTTCATCTTGCTACTGGTTTAATGCTAGGGCTTATATTCTTCATTTTAGGGGGTCTAGCTTCCCTCATTGGCGGCGCAGGAGGTGCATTTGCAGACCTTATACGCAGCTTCTAAACGCTTATACTAAACATACACCCCAATCTGCAGCAACTGCAGCAGCTGCTGCTGCTGTTGCTGCACCTGTCTCGGACATACACACCGACCTGCAGCAGCAGCAAACATATATACTCTCGTCTCGCTCCTGCCTCGCGCTGGGACCCTCTGCTGAAGCGAAAGCAATGCCAGCTACCGCATGTACTTAGCCGCAGCAACGCTAACGGCTGCTGCAGCAGCAGCAGCAGCAACAGCGGGAGCAGCAGGACCTGGAGCATTTCTTTCTCCTCCAACTCGCGGTCTAGGCATTCGGCTCCAGCTGCACCTTCTTGCGGTGTACGAACAGTCGATCTGCTCTTAGCTTTACTTCACAATGGCTGCAGCAAAGGCATTGCAGGTGCTGCAGCAGAACAGCTTCACGGGGCCCCCGTTAAACAATAATAAGTAGAAGGCGGAGACTGTTAACGCAGAGGCAGCAGAAACAGCAGCAGCTGGAACAGCAGCAGGAAGAATAGCAGCGGCAGCAGCAGCCGCAGCAGCAGCAGCAGCAGCACAAGCAGTAGCAGCAGAAGCAGGAGCAGCACCAAGGCCAGCTGAGTCAATGATAGCAGCAGCAGCTGGAAGCAGCAGCCCTTGATTGCGGCCGTAGCTGCTGCTGCTGCTGCTGCTGCTGCTGCAGCGGCCCTCGTGCCCTATAAAAGAATAATTTTATTTTGGCGGTTAAGTCTCTTCAGCACTATATGCAAGAAAAGCTATTTTTTCTTTTAAGACTCCTTTAGTTAACCTTTCAGTTAAATATCAATTCAAATATTTTCTTAGCTTCGGCTGTATGTACGTCGCACTCCTTGCTGTTATTTCCGTGTCTTTCTTTGTTTTTCTTTTAACTCATTTTGACTTCATCTTCAAGGTGGAAACTCTACAAATGTTTTATTTAAAATATTAATCAGGCGTACACCAGAGAGTGCATCAGACGTTGAGGGTTTACTCCGCTCTAGAACAAGTGCTAGACGCCTTGAGCGTCTCTGCTGTTGCTGCAACAGCTGTTGATGCTGCAGCTATAGCAGCTGTTGCTGCTGCAGCCGTCGGTGCTGTAGCTGTAGTAGCTGCTGCTGATGAGACAGTTCGATAGAGGGGAGGGTCTTGCTGCATCTGATCGTTGGAAGCAACAGCAGCAGCAGCAGCAGCAGCAGCAACAGCAGCAACAACCGCAGCAGCAGCAGCAACAATGGCAGCAGCAGCAGCAGTGCTGCGCCTGCTTTGCTCGCCCCAGCCACGAACACTTTGTTTAGTTTATATATTCTTGGTGGGTGTTAGGGGCTGTTGTTCACAAAGGAGACAGAAGAAGAAGACTGCCTGTCTCCGTCTGTCTCCCCTACGGTCTCTTGTTAAGTTGCTGCTGCTCTTCTTGTTCTTGATAGTATACACATGTATAGACAGTAGCTGAATGAGGCGTATCCACAGCCAAGAGACTCGCAAACCGCAGCAAAGGCAAAAGAGTTTAGTTTAGCAGACTCTATAACAGTAGCAGCAGTAGCAGCAGCAGCAGGTGCTGCTGCTGCTGTTGCTGCTGCTCCTACTCTCCTCTCGGTATCCCTCTAGGCCTTCTGGGAGCAGCAGAGAATTTGCTTCGGGGCAGAGAAGCCAGTCTCTGCTACAGCTGCAACACCCTCGCTGCTGCGCGTTCTACTGTTGCTGTTGCAGCTGCTGTTGCTGCTGCTGCTGTTGCTGCAGCGCCAGCACCCCGCATGCAGACAAGAGCAAATAACCTTCTGCTGTCTACACTGACGCTGAAGAGAACAAAGGCCACAGATATATTTGCATGCAGGAGACGGCCTATTAAACACAGGGAAGTACTATATATATATAACACCTTTATGCTGTATGTACACTAGGAGCTATAATGTATATATATATATACATATATATATATAATATATATATATATATATATCTACATATATATATGTATATATATACACATATACGTATATATATGCGTATATATATGTGTATATATATATGTATATATATAATATATATACATATATATTATATACTATATATACATATATATATATATATATGTATATATATATATATATATAGTGTTTACATTATGACCTTCGTGTTTGAAGAGTGTTGTTTGTTCTTGTTTGCTTTTTTGGTGTTTTGTTTTGTTTGTAATATTTAATTAATCTCCTTGCATTATACACACTTCCTTTTGCCTTTGTGTGCGTCGTTTGGCTGAGGGGTCGCCTGCTCTTTTCTTTAAAGGGCAGCAAAGGAGACAGCTAAATATAAAGAGCAAACGTGCAGAAGCAGCGCAGCGCTCGGCTGCTGCTGCTGCTGCTTCGAGGTTGCTGCTGTGGGAGGAGACGATCCCCAGTGTACAGTCTGCATAGTTGTTTGTTTTTTTGTTGTTTGTTGTGTGTTACAATACAAATAAAGGATTAAAAATTGTTTTAAGACTTTGTAATTAACTAGAAGCAAGAAAAAACATCAGGGAGGACAGTTGCTGCAGCAGCAGCAAAGCTGCTGCTGCTGCTTCTGCTGCTGCTGCTGCTGCTGCAGACTGGCAGAGAGGAGAGCGGCCCTGGGGCCTCAGCCACTGTACATTAATAAAAACTGTTGAAGTGTATTGTTTATTTTTGTTTGCATATATTATTCTTTTAATTATATCCTTTCTATTTGAACGTTTTTAAGTTTCTTTTTTGCTGCTCTTTGCTGCTGCTACGCCTCTTCGCGTCTCCTCCTCTCTTCACTTCTTCTTTGCTTTTCTTTGTCGTTATTTGTATTTTATCCTACTATTTTCGGAATTAAAACTCAGTTTAGTTGCTTCTTCTTTCTCTTCTTTAGATAATAACAAGGCATGACCCCCCTTTCCTCGTGGGGCCGTGCCCGCTGGCGGCCCCAATTGAGACTAGCGTTAGCAGCAGCAGCAGCTGCTGCTGCAACAGCAGCAGCAGCAGCTGCTGCTGCTTCTGTATCATCCCCTGGTGCAGCAGCAGCCCCTGCTGCTGCAGGCTACCCCGTTGCTGCTGCAGGAGACGGTTTTGCCGCACCCCCAGCTGGCCATGTAGGGGCCTCCTATGCGATCGTTCATCCTGGGGGCCCCACAGGGGCCCCTATACACCCGGGGTCGCTCGTACACCCGGGGGTCCCCGTACACCCGGGGAACCCCCCTTATATGCTTGGAGAGCATGCGTTAAGTCGTGCGGTGCCGCCTTCTAGCGAGGGCCTTGGGTTTGAGGCCTATGGGGGCATGCTGCAGCAGCAGGAAGGACAACAACAACAACAGCAGCAGCAGCAGCAACAGCAGCAGGAGGGGGAGGAGGCGGGGGAAGAGGTTGGTGAGGAAGAAGAAGATGCTGTAGAGATGACAGCAGATACACAGCTACTGCCTGGTCCCCGATTGCGCTTGAACGGGATGGTGGGGTTGTTGTTATCTTTAATAGTTTTGATTTGGATAGGGAGGCCAACGAACGTGGGTTCCCAGCACCTCGGCGCTTTAGTACTAGGAATTGCTGCTGTTGCTGCAGCCGAGTATATATATACGTTTGGTGTTTACTTGAGTAGATTGAGAAAGTTTAGGCTGGCTAGAGATGCTGTCTCTCGCAGCGCAGACTCTCAACGTCGCAGACAAGTTAAGAAGAACCTGATGGAGTATCAGCACCCTCCTGTCTCTATATCTCCGGCGTTGTTCCCTTGGGTGGGCAGTCTGCTGTTTGCGATCATCATAGCAGCACTCTCTAAAGCGGTTTTCTTATTGTTTCGTGCTGCTGGCAATAGGCTGCTGCCCTCCTTCATCTTTGGAGCCTTCTGGGCTGTTATCGTTTACTGTATTAAACAATCCTTGGCGAGTAGGAAATACAAGAAAAAACTGCAGCAAGAGCTTGAAGACGGAGACGCGAGATAGCCAAGCAGCTAGCTAGCTAGCTAGCTAGCTGGCTAGCTGCTTTTATCTAGCTACCTAGCTAGCTTTGCTTGCGTACTCCTTGTGGGTTGGGTTTCTCGCTTGCGCGCATGTGTACTATTCGTTGATCGCCCGCTTGTTTGCTTTCTGACCAGCTAGCTAGCTAACGCAGCTATGTGGCTAGCTAGCTGGCTAGCTAGCCATACACTGAAGCGCTAG